TTGTATAAATCACATAATGTACGAAAAACAATCTTAGGAATATCTTTTTCAACTATTGGCACTTGCCAATACCCAGAAGCAAGATTTAACTTGGTGAACCAATGACTTCTCCCTATACGATTTATAAGATCAGTAGTATGAGGAAGAGGGTACATCTCTAAAATCGTTAATTCATTTAACAAACGATAGTTAATGCAGAAATGAATACTCCTATCAAGCTTCCTCAAGAGATAAGGTTCACATACCCAAGGGTTCCACAACTTTCGAATAACACCCTTTTTTACATCTTTTTGACATTTGCACATAAAATCTTGATCTCTTTTGATAACCAATGATGAATAGAAACATAGATTAAACAAGTATCCCCAGTTGGAATGGGATAATGTATTGCAATCTTGGCCTCAGACGACAGGTCAAATTCAAAGAGGTTGGCATACTCTTTCATGAGTCGGTCAACTACTACAACACAAAGATCGTTAGAGGGATTAGAAGAGGGAATAAAGGAACAAGACAGAAACAAAGAAGGAAGTAATGGGGAGAAAAATATGATGGAAGCAGAGGTAAATACAAAGGGATAAAAAAGAATAAAAATAAGAGGAATGAAAGAAATCTAAGGAAGTATAAGATAAAGGAGAGAAACATCAAAGTCATACTTGGCATAATTGCATTACAACCAATTCATACCAATAATAAGGTCAAAAGCTTGACTCAATACCACCCATAATAACTGCAGCTTAAGCTTGAGATTGCCTACACACACAACTAGTCTGCCTTATCCCATGCATATGCATATGTATGGTCGCTATAAATAATGAAAATTGGCTCTACAATATGACATAAATATAGACGATAACATGTGGAAACATGTCGAACAATAGAAGATAAACTTAAGCTTATATCAACCAACACAAAAAGAATAAAAGGAGATCTCTTGTTATAAAATAAGCTTGAAAAGTAAACACTAGATGAACTAATGTCGAGTGAACCCTTTGATGATACTCTCGAATGAAATATGGAGGGATCACTAACTTATTTATATAAAGACCCTTCACTACTCACATAACTCCTTATTTGCTAGAAGCATCTTAGTGTTTAAACCTTCTACTATAGTAGCATTAACAGGATGTTGTTGACACTAAGGTCTCCACCCAGGAAATAGAAGTTGCCAATTTAGAAAACGCTAATAATGCTGATAAATGTGACCAACTTCATCACATGCCCAGCAGTGGACATCATAGCCACAGCCACGACCATGTCTTCAACATTGTTCTTGAACTTGACAATAGCAGCATGTAGTGCACTTGAATTTGGAGTTGAATTCCAAGCCCATTGCATTACGAAATGAGGGTCTGGTACAATCCCACAAGCACCAGCTCCCCATATCCAGCACTTGCATGCAAAATAGTGTCAAACAGTGTCTAGCACAATTTTGGCATACTGGTGACTTAACATGGAAGGTACCCCACTGACTAAAGTAGTGTGGAGTTTGGTGTAAGCAACCAAAGGGAACGACTTGAGAGATGATCTATAAGGTTCAAATATAGAGGGAAAGGGCCCATGAACAAGAGTGCACCCCCTTTCTCAATTGATTAAGGGTTTTGGGATATTTGGGGTTAAGCGTCCTTGGGTTTGAATAGTACTAGGCTGGGTGACTTCCTGGGAAGTCCAAACTCAAGAGCTTTACACTGGGCTTAGACCCAAGCCAGACACAGAATAAAGAGTGATATAACCCAATATATGTATGATATGTATGTCTTAGATGGTCAGACATACATTCCAACTACTATCCTTACAATACATTGGGAACCCCCTATAGCCTCCTCCCCCCCCCCCCCCCCCGAGGAACACACGCTTTGGGCTTTCACCCCAAGCCTTCCTTAGTACTAGGAGTTAGTCTTTGGGACAAGCTCGAAACTTATTGAATATGAAATATTTTTAGATTATGAATTTAAACACAGAAAAAACACTATTGTGTTCAAAACAATTTCTATATTCCGTAGATATGCCAAATGAGCAAATCTAGACACTTTTCATAAATAATATTTGGGACCGAAATAAGACTAACACAAAGGGCATGATAGCAAAGGTGTTTGGCAAGCATGGTAAACTATTATATAATGATATTGAGGGATTTGATACGCAAGGGTTTTTCCCAAGCCAATGCAAGACAGAGTAAAAGATAATTAACAAATTAGGCCAAGTATGTTTGGCTAAATAGACATTTAGGAATTCCTTTCTTATGCTCATCCTCCTTCCGTTATAGTAGTAAAGAGAGAGTGTCTGTAAAGATTGGCTAATAAGTATCTTTTGATACTCGAAGTCACATTTGCGACATAGCATCAACCTCCATTAGTACAAGATTATCTCCTACAAAAAGTTAGGGATGGTTAGAGCAAGTGTATGCACAAGTCCTATAATATCTTGACAAAATGCTAGCCACAACATTCCCAACTTGATCCACTCTGACATATTTAACTCCGCACAAAGCAAAAAGCTTCGGAAATGAATGTTAAATTGCATCACTGATTCAAGTGGCCCTTGATAAAAATGATGTAATTGTTAAAAGGTATCATCACAATCGTTAGCATATCCAAATGCTCGTTTGAAGACATCCAGGAGAATGTTCCAATCCTTATGAGTGGTTGTATTCAAACCATTGTATCATTATAGTGTTGTCCCTTGGAGATACGTGGGAAACCCATGCAAACATTAAGCATCATCCTAAAAATAATATGTGATAATCACCGTAAAGTGATTAAACCAATGGTACATATCATCCCCAAGACTCCCACAAAAGAACTCCAGTCTGACACGAAGATTGGCACTAAGAGCAAGAGGAGATGTACCACATGCTATAAATGCTGCTATCAATTGAATCTAATTGCCTAACTATAACCATATAGCATCAAGAAAATGCACTAATTGCTGCTCCAAAGTCAAAAGAGGAGGAGGTTAGTGCTTTGCCATGAAGATAAATAAAAAGAAAAAAATAAAAGAGAATAAATTTGAAAAAGCTATAAGGAAAGGCAAATTTAGACAATACAAAAGTTAAATCTAAATCAAAATCCTAAATCCAAACACTCTTTAGGGACAATGAAAGTTGCCCCTCATCTTCACCAATATGAGTGCATAAATAGAATATAGAAATGTACATATATAAGAATGAGTGGTTTGGATTGAAACTAATTCGACAACTATTAAAATCCCATTATGCTAATATTAGTATACAGCATCGTTGCCGTACACTTGGATCTCACACCTTTAAATTTATTTTGAAATATATTATATTTAAAATAAAAGAGTATATATAATCATTTAAAGATATAAATTATGACTATATATATATATATATATATATATATATATATATATATATATATATATATACATACTTTTAAATAACTTATAGTGTTTCCTCTAAAGGTCCTAAATTAGGAGCTGCACCTAAGGATTAACAGAATCCTATAAATAAGTTTAATTGTACTAAGGGATGTTATGAATTTAAAAGTTCCATGTATTTAGTTGCTTGTACCTGCGAGGAATATAACCAAACCTTAAGTTTAGCTTAGGTTTAAGAGAGAGTTCAGGAATCTATGAAGAAATTGTTAACACCCCATTATTTATGTAATGCATAGTTAAAACCCCAGTAAAAAAAAAAAGAGTTGGTACACTAAGTAAAAACCTTAGCAATATAATTACCTAATGCCAAAGTAAACGAAGTTAAATTAGCTTGATAGTATGGATACCCTAACTCCCCAATTCCATCCCAAAGGAAAGGCCTAAACCTTTAGGAATGGATATGGTATACTATAGTTTTTGGGATGGGAATTATTCTTTAAGCACTTTCTTGAAAAGCTTGTTGGCTATTTAAGGCTACTAATCCCTAAGGTTTTTTGGAAGCACCACTAAAAAGTTTTTTCAAAACTATATTCTTAGCTTCACTATCCTTCATATACTTTTAAAACCCTTTATAAATTGAATTCAAAATTGAAATTACAGACTATGAATTGCATAATAAATGTCACTTGTATAACCATAATAGATATATTTAAACTTCGTGCACAGAGTTTTTTTTTTACTAATAAACTTTACTAATATAAGAAGAAATATAAGTTATACAATTTTTGAATGAGAATGATATATATAAACAAATTTTTTTAACAATATAAGTTCCACTATAAAATCTAATAAACTTACTAAAATATAGATATGACCTTCAATCCACTTAAATTATTTGTGATTTTAATTAGTATAATTTTGTTAAGTTTAGTTTTAATATAAAAATATATTTATGTGATTATAATAAAATCATGTGAAATAATATTTAATCTTACTTAACATGAACCACTTAAAATTTCTAACCACAAATGGAAAAAGGGTTATTTGGTGGCTATCTAAATAACCAAAGGTTCATTGCACTTTCTTCTTTGGTTCATTTCTAGATTCTCACTGACTTTCTCTCTTTGTAGCATGTCAAGCTTGAGCTGGAATCAATATCCAAAGGCTGTGACATCCGAATTGCAGCGCATAATGCACTCTAATCCTTCTCCGATGAAAGCAGTTCCCTTTTTCGTTGCCTTGGGAGCTCTCTGATTGTTTGATTTATGTAGTAGTGTATATACAGCATTCTCTACCTGGATCAAGAAGCTTGTACGTGATACATGGCAGCTTATTTCTCGCTTGGAACCACATGTTTGGAGCCAACAATCTGACACGGCGCGCATGCCAAGCACCAGGTTCGCTCGCGATTTTTCTCTTTATGACACTAACAGATGCGTTGAACACACATTTGCAGCAGGCTTTCTTGTCGCCTTAGATTTGCCCAGCCAATCTAATCGGCCAGCCGCTTCTCGCTCAAAAGCCTTTGTTATGCCTGACCAAGAAGAGAGTGGAAGACAGCGCTTGCATGTGACATTATTAACAACGGAGTTCGTGGGCCGCAATGCATTGCAAAGGTAACCAAGACATTTTATTTTTCTTTGATTTTTGAGAGGTTTCGTTTGGAGAGCAGCTTTGATGTTTTTGCTTGCTGTTTTCTTCGCGCAGGCACAAGTCCAACAAGGGCCAAGCCAGGCCAGGCCAGCCAGACTCATGGCGCTGCTGGGTGTCCCTTGTGCGAAAGAGAGTGCCGCTTCGGATATCTATCTCTTCGCTAATCCGGCAGTCTTTTGCGTGTGTCGTGCCAGCTAGGTGGGAGAGGCCGTCCGTCTTCCTGCCTGCCTGCCTGCCTCGCTCGAGTCCAACTCTATCCCATTGTCCGGTGCGTCGCTATACGTACAATAATCTCTCCAAAGCAGCAGCAGCAGCAGCGCACAGCAGTGACAGAGTCGCAGGCTCGAGAGGAGAAAAGAGACCGTGAGGAATTTCTTTCACTTCTTCCTCCTGATTTTATTTCTTTTCCTCCTTTCACTCTGTGAGCGCAGGCACCATACATTTACGCTGCTGAAGCAGAGAGGCACTCGGGACTTACTCATTATGCTCCGCCTCCTCCTCCACCTCTCTCGGAGAGATTTAGTGGGAGCGAGAGTGAGAGAGAGAGAGAGAGAGAGAGAGCGGTTTCATTCATTCCAGCTACGAGCTCCCATTAAGTCTGTCATTTACTTTGTGGAAATTCCTCTCGTCGTAGTTGGTCTGCTTCTGGTCTGGTCTCGTCCTGATGGTTTCCAAGTTTGCTCTTGAATTTTCATCGCTGCATGCTGCCTGCTGCTTCGTTTTCGCTGGCTGGAAAGACGCTTGACAACAAGATCCCATTAACTTCTAACGCCCACAGCTTTTGCAAGCAGGCGAAGCGACGATGACCACCGCCGAGAGAGCGCCGAGAGTAAAAACTTTGCGCCGAGGCGTGTGAGTCGAACAACCTGTCGCCAGTACAGCAAAGGACATCTCCTTCCGTATGCCTCTGTGGTGGTATATATGTTTTTAAAGTCGTTGCTCTTTTGGCTCGGCTCTGGCTCTGGCTAGCGTTGTTTGTTGTTTGTATGCGTCAATTTGCTTGCTTCCTTTCTTGCTCGCCTGCTTCCCTCTGCTAGAGCTCTGGAGATCTTCCATGACTTATAAGATCCTTCTCTCGTCTTTCCAGAGCAAGGCCGGGAAGAAGAGCTAGCTAGGCCCAACAGGGACGAGGCAGCGGGCGACGAGTGACCATGGACAGGACGAGAGCGCTCCTCCTGGTGATGGCATTCTCGCTGGTGGTGCTCACTCTTTCAATGCTAGCAGGAGGAGCGGGAGCTACCAAGCTCGAGCTCATCCACGTCCTCTACTCGCAGCAGTCGCCACTCTACAACGACACGCTCAGCGACGCCCAGAGGCTCCAGCTGATCATCGGCATGGACAGCGCCAGGCAGCATTACCTCCTGGATCGACGAAGACGAGGAGGAGTAGCAGCAGGAGCTTCTTCCACCTCCGGCTCCTCCAAGCTCGCCACCATCACCTCCTTCTGGGCCGAGAGCCCGATGGAGTCGGGCGCGTTCCTGGGCCTCGGCCAGTACCTGGTGAGCATGGCGTTTGGAACGCCGCCACAGGAGGTCCTCCTCATCGCCGACACAGGCAGCGATCTCATCTGGCTCCAGTGCTCCACCACCGCGGCGCCGCCGGCCTTCTGCCCCAAGAAGGCCTGCTCGAGGAGGCCAGCGTTCGTAGCGAGCAAGTCGGCCACGCTGTCCGTGGTGCCGTGCAGCGCGGCACAGTGCCTGCTCGTGCCGGCACCGCGCGGACACGGCCCGTCGTGCAGCCCGGCGGCGCCGGTACCGTGCGGCTACGCCTACGACTACGCCGACGGCTCCTCCACCACCGGCTTCCTCGCCCGCGACACCGCCACCATCAGCAACGGCACCTCGGGCGGCGCGGCGGTGCGCGGCGTCGCGTTTGGCTGTGGCACGCGCAACCAGGGCGGCAGCTTCTCGGGCACCGGCGGCGTGATCGGGCTGGGCCAGGGGCAGCTCTCCTTCCCCGCCCAGTCGGGATCGCTCTTTGCGCAGACGTTCTCCTACTGCCTGCTCGATCTCGAGGGCGGGCGCCGGGGGCGGAGCTCCAGCTTCCTCTTCCTGGGCCGGCCCGAGAGGCGCGCGGCATTCGCCTACACGCCGCTGGTGAGCAATCCACTGGCGCCCACCTTCTACTACGTGGGCGTGGTGGCGATCCGGGTGGGCAACCGCGTGCTGCCGGTGCCGGGCAGCGAGTGGGCGATCGACGTGCTGGGCAATGGCGGTACCGTCATCGACTCGGGCTCCACGCTCACGTATCTCCGGCTGGGCGCGTACCTCCATCTGGTCAGTGCCTTCGCCGCCAGCGTCCATCTCCCGCGGATTCCATCCTCGGCCACCTTCTTCCAAGGCCTGGAACTATGCTATAACGTTTCTTCCTCGTCTTCCTTAGCCCCCGCCAATGGGGGGTTTCCACGTCTCACCATTGACTTTGCGCAGGGGCTGAGTCTCGAACTCCCGACTGGTAACTACTTAGTGGATGTGGCCGACGATGTCAAGTGCCTGGCCATCCGGCCCACGCTCTCGCCCTTCGCGTTTAATGTGCTGGGGAATCTCATGCAGCAGGGCTACCACGTCGAGTTTGATCGCGCGAGCGCGCGCATTGGATTCGCACGCACAGAATGCGTCGCTCATTGATGGATTGGGCTTTCTTTCCCGTTTTCTATCGAGCAAAAACGAGGTTTGAGCGAGCGGAATTGGAACTGGTGAGTGCTTGGATTGGATGGAGAAGCCAGAGGACCCAATTGGGAAGAACAAGATCGATCGATCGAGCGATCGACTGGAAAGCTCTTCCTCTTTCTTTCTCCAAGCTTTTGTTATTCTTCTTTCTTTCTCTCCTTTTTTCTTCCATACCATCGTTGCCTGGTGGTGTGGTGGTGATGTCAAATTCCTTGCTCTCTTTCTTTTGTTTTCGAGCAATCAATGTCTGTATAGCTAGATAGAGCGAGCGAGCGTTGAGAGACAAAAAGGTGGTGTACTTTGGCATGGATATTTTTTTGTGGAAGATTTATAGATCTGGACAAGATGATGATGAAGCCGCGTCCCGGAACCACCGCGATGAATGCTCCTCTCCTCCATCCGTGACTCGCATTTACTCGCAAAGAGTCAGGGTCAGCGCAGCGATGCGTCACTCGCTCACTCGCTCACAAGCTCGTGGAGTAAATGTTTGAGATCAAAACCGCTGCGGCGGCTGCTCCTCCTGATGATCCTGGTCCCCGTCCGGATGATCCTCCAGGTGATGGCGCTATCAATGATCCACCACCTGTGGCAGCTCTCAGCCCCTGCTCCAGATTCCCGTGAGTGTGACAAGCTGCCACCAGCGTCGCGCTCGCCACCGATCCCGGCTGGAAAGGCATGCTGCTCATCAGCTCCGCGGCGAGCTCCACATGACCGGCTCGCCCCAGAAGATCGATCGCGCACTGGTAGTGCTCCAAGTTCCTGGAAAAGTGGTAGTCAGATTCCACTCCAGCGAACAGGCTATGGCCGTCTTCCACGAGCCCCGCGCGGCTACACGCCGAAAGCGCGCTCAGCACCGTGATCTCGTTGAGCTTCACCCCCTCGACGAGCATCTCCCGGAAGAGCTCCAGCGCCTCACGGCTATGCCCGTTCTGGGCATTCGCGGCGATAATCGCAGTCCACGACACGACGTTCTTCCTGGCGATCTTGGCGAAGGCCGACCGCGCCTCCTCCAGGCTCCCGGCATTCCCGTACATGTCCACCAGCGCGGTGCCAACCGAGACGTCGTAATCCATCCCGGTCCCGGCCAAGCTCGAGTGGATCGTCCTCCCAAACGGCGCTGCCGACGCGTCGCTGGCGCAGGCGTGGAAGATCGCCAAGAGCGTCACCTTGCATGGCTTGGCACCGTCGAGGTTCATGAGTTGGAACACGCGGAGGGCCTCGCGGGCATGGCCGTTTTGAGCGTAGGCGGTGAGGATCACCGTCCACGCAACCACGTCCTTGCGGGTGATTCCATCGAAGCAACGCTGGGCGTTCTCTACGCTGCCGTGTCTTCCATAGGCGGCGACGAGCGCGCTCGCAACGATGGCGTCCGAGTCGAGGCCCGGCGCGGCGAGGCTCGAGTGGAGGGAGAGCGTGGCGTCTACATCTTGGCAAGCGCCAATGGCCACCACCAGAGTTATGATGTTCGCGCGCTGGCCCTCGAGATCCATGGCGGAGAAGAGCTGCAAGGCGGATCTCCCATCGCCGCTGCGAGCGTAGCCTGTGATCATCGCGTTCCAGGACGAGACGCTCCGATCGGGCATTTGGGCGAGCAAGCTCCTCGCCGTGGACAGATGCCCGGCCTCGGCAAATGCAGTGATTAGCGTGTTCCAGGAGATGGAATCTCTTTCGGGCATTGCATGAAACACCGCCATTGCGCGATCGAGATTCCCGACCCCTAGATGCGCAGCAAGCATTGTGTTCCACGAGATAACATTCTTTTCCGGCATCTCATCAAACAACACTTGAGCCTCTTCCAGATGCCCGTTCTGGGCATATGCTGAGATCATGATATTCCAGGAGTGTGGATTTCTCGCCGTGATGGCCTCGAACGCAGCGTGCGCTCCAGAAATGCTGCCGCACTTGCCATACATCTCCACGAGGTGATTGCCGATGAAAGCCTCTCCGTCGCGGCCGGCCCTGGAAATCTGTGCGTGGACTCGCCTACCCATCCACAGCGCGTCGTTTTGAATGCATCGGGCGAGGAGAGCGACGATTGTGGCCTTGTCTGCGGCGATCTCGCGCCTCTCGAGCCGCGGAACCGATCGCTCCAGCGGCTCATCGCAGCGATCGTATCGAGGAAGCTGCCGCCGCATACATTCATGACGCTAAAGGGAGGAACCCTAAAACGTTGGGTTCAACGTAAAGGTGAGGGCTAGGTTTTCGATTGCGTTCGTCGGGCGAGCTACGTGATTCCCTGGAGCAGCGCTGCAAGACAACGATCGCTATATCGCATTGAAAGGTAGGAGAGGATGAAGAAGAGGCCCAAGGAGCTCCAGATCGAGGCGACGGTGGCTGTCAAGGTAAAACTAGGTCCCAAGAAAAAGAAGATGACGAAGAACAAGCAAAAGAAGGAGGGATCGGCGTCGGGCTCTCAGCTTCACGCTGTGGTTACAAAGGCGGCAAAGAAGGAAAAGAGGATGACGAGCACGAATGCGAAAAAGGGTGCCATTCCAAAAGCCGCCGACGCTGCTCAAGATCCTTCGGCGATGACGAAGCACGCTCCAGCTTCTCTAGCTACGGCTAAGCCATCTTCTCCCATTGCCGGACGAGTGAAGAACTCTCGCAAGAGAAAGTTGCCGGAGTCATTCCTGGCAATGAACAGTCCCAACACCAAGCGCCTGGACGCGTTCCTGGCGTTCGTCCGCGACAACAAAGACACCCCCCAGCACTTCCCTCCGGCGGGCGTCCCCCATGCGCACGTCAACGAAGCTCTTACACCACCAGGAGAAGAAACGATCCACCCTCCTCCGGATGATCAGCAAGCAAGGCCGGTTTTCACGATTTGCACGCATGAGCACGGCAAGGAAGACATCGAGGCGACCTGGCCGTGGAACGTCTTCACGGACGGGTCGCTCATCGTCCCCGAGGGAGGCGAGGCAGTGAAAGCCGGCTATGGAGTCTACTACGTCTGGTGCAACGGCGGCTGCGGCCTGGCCAAGCACGTCCAAGGCAACAGCAGGATCTCGTACGATGCATGGGCGATGGACGGGAGTCGCAAGATAAGGATCATCGAGCTCGCGCTGGGTGGCGATGAGAGCGCGCTCACCATGGAGCTCCTGGCCATCCTCGAGGCGCTGCTGCTTGTGCAGAGCTTCTGGGGCTACTCGCGCCTCTACCTCTACACGGATAGCATGGCGGCGCTCAAGCTCCTGGCCGAGTTCCAGAAGCGACCGGGGAGCTTCGCCAGGCACGTCCATGGCGAGGTGCTGGCCGCCATCACCAGCGTCGCTCGCAGCAGCTACATTGAGCACGTACACTTGCTCAAGGTGCGAGCGCACGCTGGGCTATTTGGGAACGAGGCCGCCGACCGGCTGGCCAAGATTGGTGCCAACTTGCCGGTTGGCTCCTCGTGTAAGTTTAACCTCAGCAACGTTGCCCAGCCGGGAGCTCTGGCTATGGATCCCGGCCTGGTTTGCACAGCAGGTGGTGGTGCTGCTAGTACTCTTCTTGCTCCTCCTCCACCACCACTTCGGCCACCTCGGCCTCCCCTGCTTCCTCCCCTTCTTCCCTTTCCCCTTCCTCCTCCACATCCTCTTTTGTTTACTCCTTCCCTCCCTCCTCTTCTTCCTCTTCCAGAGCAGCAGCCACCCCTTGTCCCACATCTTGCTTCTTTGAAACCAAGTGTTTGTATCTACTAGCAAATCGGATTTTTAATCGGAATAGAATACAAATCAAATCAAATATGCTAAGCAATCTATTTAATGAGTTTATGCTGGCCAGCATTTGATTTTTGGCTTTGAAATGTGGATTCCTATAGGTCTTCCAAGAAATATATCTCCTTTTACAAAGTTTCTTAATTATTAATCACGCTTCAAAATCAAACTTAGGGAGAGAAGAATCATCTCGTTCAAGAATTGTTGGGAGAAGAATGAAGATGGCGAACAAGAAGGGGAAAGAGGACCAGTAAAGAAAACAATAAACAGTTTATAACCTTGCATGCATATACATGGCATTCCTTGTCTAGCAAGAATCACTAGAAGAAATGTAAGTTTCTAGTGGCATAGTTGGCTCAAAACGTGGTGGTTCTTCAAGGTACATCACCCCCTGCCGCATTTTCAAGTTTGGCGCCACCCAGTCCACACCATGGTAGCGCGCAGTCAACCAGCTCCACTCAAGGTTCCCGGACATCATGTAGCCAAGGCCGTCAATGTAGCCCTCCACAGCGGTGGAGAAGTAGCTCGACCTGGATATCAAGCCGTGCAGCTCCACGAACCTCCGGTTGCAGTCCTCCATCAGCTCGAGAGTTTGGTCCACCGCCTCTTGCAATCCGACGCCCTGGGACATGCAAATCGAGGAGAGGAGGTTGGAGAAGTCCCCGGAGAGATACTCCACACGGAAGGAGAGGATGTCGTTGACGCAGATGAGGTGGTCGATGGCGGTCGTCGCAATCTCCCGGATGGCCGACTGCTCGAGCACTTCCTCGTCGAGCTCCACCCCCAGTCCATACTCCATGAGCAAAACCAGCGTCGTCCCCGAGCTAAACATGCGCTTCCCGGCCACAAACTCGCTGGCCGTGAGGACCGCGCCCTCTTGGCGGAGCCGGGACTGCGAAGCCGACTGCTGGAACAGACCCAACACGTGGCGCACCAGGCGCGAGTACTGCCGCGGCGGCATGTCCTCGCGGAAGTGTTGCCACAGCAAGGCGAAGCACGAGAGGAGCGAGCCTCCCACCGGCGCCATCGCCCCTTTAGCTCCATGGATGGTTTCAAGGTACTTACCCACGAACGCCGACGCGTCTCGGGCATTCGCGCCCAGGGACTTGACGTCGTCGACGAGCGAATCGAACAGTGTGAACCAGCATACGAACTTGATCAGCCATGGGATCCTTGAGTTGAGAACCGTGGGGAAGAGCATGCACGAGAGAAAGGGCAGCTTCTGAGCTACAAAGGACCTCATCTCCTCGTCCGAGGACTCTGGCGAAGCGAAGTCTACACACCAGCGGTCCATTTCCATCTGGAGCTTGTCACACAATGGATGGACTCGCAATGCAGGCTTGCATTTCATTGGGGAGATGTGGAAGCTGCTGAAGCTCCTCATGGGGGCAGCCGTTATTTACTTCAAAGCACCATATGCCGCTCAAACGAGACCAGCTTCTTTATACTCAAGGTGACATGCCGTGTTTTTGGAGGAGGTTGTACATGGCTGACAAGAACACAATAGATGTTTTTGTTGTTCATCGACGACCACCACAAGTTTAGAATGTTTATGGCTGACAAGAACACAATATCTGCTTTCGTTGTTCATCGACGACCACCACAAGTTTAGAATGTTTATGGCTGACAAGAACACAATATCTGCTTTCGTTGTTCATCGACGACCACCACAAGTATAGAAAGTGTGGTTGTACATGGCTGACAACATGTTTTTGTTGTTCATCGACGACCACGACAAATTTTAGAAAGTTTCGTCTTGAACGAGTGAACTTAGTGCTACTAGCGTTTTGGAACATGGAGCTTGTGCTGATAATTCTGGGTTTGCTGCTACTGCAATTGGTTACGTCAATGGTCTTGTGCAAGTTTTTACTGCGGAATTGGAACTTTCATTCTCACACAAATTTGGTCTCAAGTGAGCTATACATCGTACTAAGTGAAATCTATCAAGTTTAGGAGCTTATGATAGGAGCATATAAGAAGATACGTATCAACAATATACTAGATCACACAAAATGGTGGTCAGAAAAGGTCAATCCGGTCAAGCACTTTCTCCCCTTCACAAAGATACCACCCGCATTTTGATTTTAGGTATTGGAGGAGGAGGAAGAAGAAGAAGAAGAATGGCGCACGATTACACAGGTCAGTTCCTTCCCTCCCTCCTTGTTCTTACTTCCTGATTGGACAGAGCAAGACAAGGATCATCTCCTCAACATTCCCAGCACCAAGTCCTACCCAAAGCTGAGCGTGCGTCGTCTCTCTCGGCGCGCCGACACGGGCGACACCATCCTCTCTAACCTCTCCTTCGACGTCTTCCCCGGCGCCGTGGTGGGCATCATCGGCCCCAGCGGCAGCGGCAAATCCACGCTCCTGCGGGCGCTCAACCGCCTCTGGGAGCCCCCCGCGCAGACCATCTTCCTCGACGGCCAGGACGTGACCAAGCTCGACGTGATCGCCCTCCGCCGCCGCGTGGGAATGCTCTTCCAGACTCCTTGCCTCTTCGAAGGTAATGCGGTCGTGTTCGTGGAGTTCTTTCCTTCTTCTCTTGGAAGTCGCCACCTAGATTTGTTTCTCTCCGGCCACTCACTTGTTCCATCAGCTGTGATCCAGGGACTGTGAGCGACAACGTTCGCTATGGACCCAAGCTCCGAGGCAAAACTCTGGAAGATGGCGAGGTGCTTGCTCTACTCCAGCAAGCCGATCTGGATTCCTCGTTTGCTGACAAGCCCGTCCACGGCCTCTCGGTCGGCCAGTCCCAGCGAGTAGCGCTCGCGAGAACTCTAGCGAATCGTCCAGAGGTAAGGAGTCGTGATGCTCTTGGCGAAGAGGTCCTTCCTAATGCGGTGTTGATCGTTATAGGTGCTGTTGCTGGACGAGCCAACGAGTAGCTTGGATCCGGTGTCCACCCAGAATATAGAAGCCTCGCTACTGAAGCTGTGCAAGGACAAAAGCCTCACGCTGGTGCTCGTCTCTCACAGCATCAACCAGGTCCAGAGGATGGCCGACGTTGTCTTTTTGCTCGTGAATGGACAGATTGTGGAGATTGTCACGCCTGGAGAGCTAGAGAACGCGAGCCACCCTCTTGCTAGGCAGTTCTTGGACGCGTCCTGAATCATCCTCCACCATTCCCAGTTTTTTAGAGAAAAAACTTGCATCAGCACCAGCAGTGCTTTTCTTTATGATTTATATGAAGAAACTTTAATTCTTCTGGGAGAGGCTTCTCTCGATTTTGTCCTTGAGGTGGCTGCCAGAGCTCGGCCCCGGTGGAACTCCTCCCGGAAAGTTGATACTTTGCGATGGCTTCTTCGTGAAACCACTAGCCACAAGACAAAAGCAAGTGAAATCTCAAGGAAACGTGGTTCCACTTACTTCTTGTCTGTCAGGATCACTGTTCTTAGAGCGCAGTTTGCGAATCTAAAGTCAAGTTTGTACGTTAGTCAAAAAGCAATATAAAGTTGAGCTCATACCGAGATCGGATTTCTTGCTGGACAGTATCTCCACAGTCGTCGCCAAACAAGGTGACCATGTGTGTCAAGAAGCCGCTGTGAGAGACAACAGCGATCTCTTTCTCGTCACGCCGGAGGAGCCTGTGCAACAAAGAAGAACAAGTTCCGTTCTGCAGGTAGAGATCTATAGCTTTTCTCGCATCACTTACCACTTTAAAAATTCTACACCGCGCTGGCAGAGGTCCTCGTCAGGCTCTCTGATATCAGCATTCCACCACTCGTCTTCGTCAGTCTCGATCTACAAAGCAAATCAAAGATGATCGCGAAGCAGGAGAGACAAGTCAGACCTCGGAAAAATCTACTCCTGGAAACTCGAGTTTGTACCGGCTGATGGGATTCCTTTTGTCGCAGGGATGCACTCCCTGCTCGAGGAAAAGAAAAGAAATTATGCAAAAGGAGGAGCGCGAAAGAATAGCTTAACTGTGTGCTCTCGACAAAGTTCCAGTGCAAGGAACGGAGGACACCGTGCACTCGACACTGCTGGATGAGGAGACTTCCCCACTCCATTCACCATCAACGGTGGTGCAATCTCGCCATCAACGAACTCACCACCTCCAAAAACTCCCACAGCAGTTTGCAAAGTTCTGTCAGCAAGATCGAAAGCTTGAAAGAAGGGCACGGCTGTCCTGGTCTTACCGAGTAAGAGGAGATACCACTACCAATTCAATGCCACTGCCGAGACCAGTATCAACGACATGCTTCCTGAGTCGTGCAACCTTTCAAACAGCACGCAACAAGAAAGAAAAAGATTTGCTTGCCGGGACGAAGAGAAAGATCTACCTGGTTCCAGCCATTGGGTGTGAGGCTAGCATCCAGCAGAGCGTAGTCATTGTAGGAGGCCATGTCGATCTCTCCAGCAACGTTATGGTATCCTTGGGCATGTCTCACCTTGTAGTTGTAGCACACACAAAGCTCAAACGCAAGCCGAGAAGAGATGGGAGCTTACCAAATGGATGATCTTGCAGTGCTGGAGAGGGAGGAGCGTCGGCCCTTGCTCCATTCTCCTCCTAAGAGCCCTACCCAGGCTATGTAACACTGAAGCATAGGACAAATTATGGACAAATCTTTGTGGCTTGATTATAGTAGTACTCTCGACAGAGTGAGAAAAAATATAAAAGAGAGAAATGTGGATGGAGCTCAGAGAGATCCATTTTCAACAGCATCCTCTAGCTCCTTGCCAGTATCTTCGATCACATCCGCCAAATCACTGCCAGCACTGGGTCCTTCTGGAACACCTCCAGGGAAGTCACTAGACGCCGCAATCTTGCTCGTAGCTCTACACAACCGAGGAAAACTTGAGAACATAGAAACAAAAGTAGAAGAATACTCGCCTTCTATCCGCGAGCACGACCGTCCGGAGCTCACAATTGGTGTAACTAGACATCGAGTGCAAAGGATTCAGTCAGAGAAAACACGAAAAGTTCAAAGCTTACGGCGAGCGAATCTCTTGCTGGACGAGTGGAGAGCAATCTTCGCCGAACAACTCGAGGAGGTGGATCAGATAGCTGCTGTGCGAGACGACGGCTATTCTCTTCTCGTCGCGATTTAGTATCCTGAAAGAAATCGCGAGTGAGAGAACTTCCGGAGGCGCAACAGAATTACCACTCTATGAATTTCCTGCCGCGAGCATGGAGCTCCTCGGAAGTCTCTCTGGAGCTACACTTCCACCACGTATCCTCGTCGGTTTCTATCTGGAGAACAAAACAAGGTTTGGATCCCCTTCTTGTCAACAAAGCTACTTCTTACCTCCGAGAAATCAATTGCGGGGAACAGATTCTTATAGTCCCGGATAGGACTACGCTTGTCACAAGGATGAATGCCCTGGACAAAGAAAGAGAAAAGATTGTGTGAGAAAAAACCAAAGGAACTTTACGGTGGAATGCATTACCATATGCTCCCTACACCACTCGACTGCTACGAACTTTGGACAGCCCGAGCTGGAAATCGCCGCGTGTTGAGCCTTCCCGACTCCCTCGGCCATCAGAGGTGGATTCTCTTCTTTCACACCGTCTTTCACATCGCTCCCACCGAAAACTCCCACTGCTGTCTGCATGGTTCTGAAAATCAATACCCACGCCGGAGTTGTACAAGACCACCTTATATTACGCCAGGGAACCAAAGGAAAAAATCCACTCACCGAGTCAACGGAGAGACAACCACCAATCCAAGAGCCTCCTTGATCCCAGAAGTCATGACATGCTTTCGAAGCCTCGCAACCTTTGCAAAAGAGAGAAGAAAAAGAAGGATCTTGGAAAAGCTATGCCACAAGAACTTTACTTGATCCCAGCCCATTGGAGTGAGACTCGCATCGAGAAACTCGTAGGATTCGTACGCACGATAATCCGCCTCACCGGCAACGTTGTGAAATCCCTGCGCATGTCTCACCTGCAAGAAAGAAATCCAAAACTTTCGCGATGCTCTGGATGGAAGATGTGAGCTTACCAGGTGGATGATCTTGCAGCGGTGGAGGGGATACAAGGACGGAGCCGGCTCCATGGATCCAGACGAGGCGGCTGCCACCAAGGAAGAGGGATTCACGCCCGGCAGCTCAGTCAAGCAAGCGCATGTACCTTTCCTCTTCTTGCCTCTCGAGCTAGCGCCGTGCCTGCGCCTGCGGCAAAAAATCACTGGCGCGGAAGACTTGGAGAAATGCGAGGGATGGAATGAACTACTGCCACTGCTAGAGATTGGGAAACCAGGCAGCGATGAGACAATGCGCGGTCCAGGCATAGATTGCAAGCACTCACGCTTCACATGGAACTCGCCCTCTCTCCTCTCAAATCAGCGCTCCGCCTCCCTCCTCGAAGCGAACATTGCTAAACCTTTTGGCCACGTGTACCCTAACAAGCATCACGCCGGGAATATCCTCGGACCGGAATATACTCTCTTATTGGTGTAAGTACACGCAAAGCGCCCCGATACCCGCGGTGGCTGCAATCGCGAATATTGCAGCTAGAAGGTCGGGCACCATTCCTATAGACAAACAAGATCACGTATCTCAGACAACTGCAATTCAAAGAATTCAAGCAATGTGAAACCAACCTCTGTCATTAGGAGTGATTCTTACAGTGTGGTCTTTGCTAGCCGAGAGCAAAAATCTAGGAACAAGAACAAAGATCAGAGTGAGTTTATATCTCAAACAGTCGTAGCTACCTATCGTCACTCGAGAACTGTACGGAAGACACGAGCTTCTTATGGGGTCTGTATTGCCAGAAACCTTGCAAGTCTTCTGTTAGAAGCGTCACTGCTCCTGAAGGCCTTCCACTGCGCAAGCATTGCTGTAAGTAACCATGGAATTTAAAGGGTGACGGAAAGCTTACACTGCCAAGCATCCGTTTTGCATCTCAGCAATGGCCGAATTGCCACCCCAAGTTCTGGCCCCTCGGACACGCTTAGACGTTACGGTGTTCCAGGTGATGATTTGACCTGGAAGTTAGATCATTGACATGAAAAGAGACGGATGGAAAGAGAAAAAAACTTGCCTTGGGCTACCAAATGGAGAAGGTTTGTATCGGCTAGAGAGAAGCGGCCAAACGTTGCTCCAGGAAGAGGAATCGTGCTTATTTGGGACCTCTTTGTGAGATCCCATAGCTCGCAAGCTCGCCCATCAACCGTCACCGCCAGACAAGAGTTATCCGAGCTAACATTTTAGAAAACAGAGAAAACTTAATCGAAAGTTGATGATCAAACTGCTTGCCTGAAATCCAGATCGCTTATCCCTTTGTCTGCCTTGTGCGGCTTGTCAAGAACAAGCTTTAGCAAAGGCCATTCGAAGACTTGCAGATGCCCGTTCTAACCAGCTTCAATTGGAAACAAGAAAGGAAAGATGGCAAAGTGGTACCTTTCCACCCATTGCGAGAAAGCTCCCATCCCGACTAAATTTCAAGGCGGACTGCTCGTTGACATGTTTCAAAGCTTGAAGTTGTTCCCTATCAGCAGCAATTTCTATACGCTTCCCTTCCTCTTCGTCACAAAAGAGCCTCAAAATCTCCAATTTTCCATCGTGTCTGTACAAGATCAGTAGGACCACAACATATAATCGTGAAAAATCGGTCTGCCTTCGGTTAGCAATGAAGGAGCACATAAAGTCGGTTCCGTTGGGATGGACGGCCAAAATGTTGGGAACTTCATCGTCCGTGTCAAACGTATAGAGCTAGACAGAAACCAAGAGATCAATTACGGAGTATTTGTGTACAAAAACTAACCGGATCACTGAGGCGCAGGGAATCAGCGTCAAAGTTCAAGACAACAAGAAAGTTGGCGGCTCCAATGTGTCGATTGCCACCTCCACCACCGCAGATTATATGCCCGTTTTTGGCCCATGCAGCACAAAGCACAGGCGCGTTCAACTCCTTCTCCATGGCCTGAAGAAAAAATAGCAGATTAAGGATTTACCTTTTAAAAGCTAAGTTTACACCGGAGGAAAAAAGCACCACCTCCAAAATTATGACCTTGCCTTAGAAGTACGGCAGATCGAAATTCATGCCCACCGTTTTGATCCCGCTCGCAAACTTCGACGTCCTTACCGTGGGCATCAAGGGCGACACACCTGCGGAAGTGATACCGTGGATCTTGGAGCGCTCTTGTAAGTCCACTGCCCGATCCCCCTCGTGGACCTTGGGGAGTGCCGAAATCTTTGTCCTTGGTGAGTGGCGGCCGAGATTCAGGACCCCGCTATTGCATCTGCAATTCCCAGCAGAAACGCAATTCATTTGGCACTTCCGACACTTGTCCTTAAAGATCATCGTCAAATAGCATTTTCATCTTTCTTTCGATTTCTTTCTAGAACTCTACTTGCCCCAAACTGTGGACAAGTAACGCCCTTATCTTCAAACTTTACTGCTTCTCTGGCAACCTGAAGTTTTATAATGCTCCTCACTAGCATCCACCGTCACCCGTCATGATCTTTGGGTTGAGGCATGAACGTGTGAGACCATACGTATAGAGTATATGCCGCATGAATTCCCCCCAAGAGTAGACGAAGTTTCAATATTTTCTCAAGACAACATGAGCTTGATTAGATTTCGCAGCAAGAGCGTGACCGCCTTGGTGAATATGCATACTTGCATGCAGCACCATTACTCAAAGACAAATTCTCAAAGACAAAATGCTCGTCATGGTATTATTATTATTAGTACATGGAAGAGGTCAACTCTATGTTCCAGTGATGTAGGCATTTTGTTCTTGGAAGCTTGTCCCTGCAGTGAAAGCTATATGTTATTTACAATGGCTACTTACTCAAAGCTGTGAAGGTGATGACAGCATTACCTCCGATTGCAATTCAGCAGAAGACTGCACAAAAGGAAATAGGAATCTCGAGAGCAAACCGGACAACGACACAACAGCACCGTGAAAAACTTTTTCTCCTTTTTCTTGCATTTTTATTCCAAGTAATGTATGGTGCGTCTCTGCCTGTGTCTGACAAGCAAAGAAGAAAGTCTAAACAGTAAAAACAATGGGAGGAGAGTGGAGTTCCTTTAAGTTCTCAGCATGATATCGACAGTGGCATTACACAACAACAATAAGAACCAGATCCTTAAGAACCAATTTGAGCAACAACAACAACACCAACACCACCACGAAACAAAAGATCGGGGGAGAAGTCAGCTCTTCTTGGCTGGAGTATGTCAGTATAGCACGACCAATATAGTATAGTATAGTGGTGGTATATTATACGACCGCCACAAAGGCGCTCCAAGCTTAACAACACCAACATATATATCTCGATCCACTTGGCGCTGTTGTCTGTAGCACTACAACACTGATGTATGAAAAGACAGAGCCTCTCCTCACTGACTGCACTCCAAAACAAAAGTAGCAGGCAGGATCGAGTTACATTAAAAAAGAGAGACACAGTGTATATTTCTTCCCCTGGCTCAAAAGGCTGGCCTGGCATGGCTCTTCTTTAGAAAGTAAGAAGAAAGAAAAACATGAGATTATATACCGACTGATGCGGGATTGTCATTGTCTCCCCATCTTTTTTATTTTTATTTTTATTTTTTTGATTTTTTGTTTTTGTGTTTTCCTTCCTGACAGGAAATTTACAGGCCATATACTCGTGTGTGTTGCTGTTGCCGGCTGACTCTGTCGCTGGCTGTGGTTGCTGGTCTGAATTATGAGCCAAAGAGCTCCTTAGATTCATGCAGTATATACATGTAGCCAAGTTGGACATGACATAAAGGATCGTTCTTTTTGGAGGATATCTTGAACGCTTACAAAGTACGCCACGGTGACCATAAAATCTTTTTCCTTCTTCTTCTTTCAAAAACCCATGATCATCCGATGATCTTGTATAACCTTGATAGAAATCACTTGAATACATTGATGAAACTTCCAGCGGGGAGGAGATATGACAAGTCCTTCCGTAGTGTCAATAGGAAAGTATAGTACCGTAACAGAGACAGCCAACTAACACCCTTGCACACCACAAATTCAAGGAAGTTACACGAGAGGAGAGGATCCCAGTTTTGTAAATTGTCCGGTCTGCTAACTCTTCGAGGGAAAGCGACTTAGACCTTATGCCTCTCATCTCTCTTGCAAAAGCAAATCTTATTGCGTCTCAGGGTGTTATATACGTTGTTGAACACTTGTTACCGGTTACCGTATCTCTGTGGACATTTTGCCGTGTCCTTGCTTCCATCCATACGTTGAATCACTGTTCATGCGTCATAAATGCGCGCATGTCATGATTTGATCGTCCTTACTGCGGGGGAGGATCCATTGAGAAAATATGCCCCAGTAAGTCGAGAGCAGCCAGCAACAAAAACAGTGCCTCTGAAAGAATGAATTTTCTTTCTTGATCAGCAGCAGCATACCAGTGTCCAGGCTCCAGCACTGGCTGCTGCCAGGCTCAGCTCTGATCTGATCAGATTGAGACACAGACTCACACACACACAATTTAAATAGTCATATGTAAAAAGTTGGGAGGTCTGCTTTGTATCGAAAATCTACACTGGGATGGGAACAAACGCATGCCACAAAAGCCTGAACTTGCTGCGATTGCAAGCGAATCATGAACTGGTGATGAAACAGAGCGTAAGAGCTCCTCCGGAGGGTTTTAGCAAAGCCACACGGACTCTGGAAACGCAAAGCGATGAACTAACTCAGCGCAACGGGGGACGAGGGACTCTATGGAGCATGTGTTTTGATGATTGATATGGTCAGTAATGATCAAGTCCGGGATTTGGAAGAGCAAATCTGGCGGATTAATTGGATGACAAAAGCGATTGATCCGATCCAGCCATGCATTATGCATGGGCATGCATGATCGCCAATGCATGGAAGCAAGCCAAAGCTGACACAAACACAAAACCGTACGTGGCGCCGAGGACCTCCACTCAGTCGACTAATTTACACACCCAAGTTGCGCCGTCCTTGCGCTGCTCTCGTGAATCGAGACTTGTTCTAGTGGTCCGGGGGGATTCAAGGAGAGAGGATTGGATTGCACTTGATGCAAAGGGCAACGCAGCTCTAACACTTTTCCGCCGAACCTCCACCACCTTTGTTTTCGCCTTGTCCCGTTGCTGGTCCCCTCCAACCTGAAGGCTGTGTGATTCCAAGACTTTTTTGTTTTCTCTTCCTTCTCTCCCACAGCATTTCATGCTCAAAGAATCATTTGGTGTGGTGTGGTCCATGACACAATTCGGCACAAGGGTCATTCTGGCAAGTGATTGAGAGAGATTATCCCTGGGTTGTTTTATATCAGAAGAAAAAACTATAGCTGGAGTGCAACTTAACAACCTGATTTTTGTTGTTTGTTTTCTCATCCGATCTGGATGTGCTGTAATGTAAGGCGGACAAGGACGAGTCTCCTCATCTGTATAGATCATCTATCTCTGTATGTATCGAATATGGAAGCTTCTTTGAAAGGAGCATGTTCCAACGTTGCTATAAACAGTTCTCTGCTTTGAAATCAAACAATATTGGCACATCGTTTTCCTTGATATCGTGGTCTACTTTCGCTTTGCCTTGGTGTGTTTGGTTTCTTCTCTGAAAGCATCAAGAAGAGCTGGCCAAAAGCTAATACCTCCCGCTCCTTTGATCAGGCCTCTAAATGCGAGCACACTGCTAGCTTAGGCAGTTTGGTAAGTGCGGTTGATCCATCACCAGGTAACGACAATGTGGTCGGCGCATATGGGCCGGGAGCCCACCCCGGAATTTTACAACTCTTATTTCAATCTAAACGATACGAGAGAAAGAATTGAATGAATCGATTGAGAGAAACAGTCGTCGCCTTCCTTGGAACATTGGAAGAAAAGAAGTTGGTGCATGTAGACCCTCTCATAACGTACTTGTGGAGCGTGGAAGACTCTGGCCTCTCTAAACAAAACGTGGAAAAAACCAGCCTTTGCTTGCAGCGACCAAACTTTTGATAAACAAGGCATAAGATTCCAATGTGGTCGGATCATTAGACACCCTCTAAGCTGCTCTTAAATTTCTATATACAGACAGACCGCCTTTCTTGACTCGAGTCCATGTAATCCTTCAGTCAATTCGAGCATTGAAAGAGAGGAAAACAAAGGTAAAAGAAACGTATAAACACTGGATCCCAGCCAAAGCATTCATTCAACACATCCATTTCACATCCAATCATGTAAGCCACGTAGACAGGACCCCCCCCATACACGGTCGTATGGCAAAGAGAGGCATGGATGCCTACATTCGTTTGTTCGTTCCTCCGTTTTACTGTAGAGTTCATTGTGGTAGAATAGCTATGGCTGCAATGTTCTAGCGTAGGTAGAGATCTAGGCGAGCGATTCTTGTTCCGCGTCTAGCGTGACGACTCCCACCATCGACTGATCAAATTCGCTGGAAAAATTTCTGGACTAACATATCTTCTTAAGTTTTCTAACGAAATCCAAAACGCGACACCAGATTTGCATCGATCTAGCACAGGAATAGAGCAAACGGATTCATGGATTTGCCTCGGACGTCTATAATCTCGTGCCCGTGGGCTGTACGGCGGAGAGATGGACGAGAAATGGAGGAGCTGTGTCCATGGCAACACGGGGAGTCATTCCGAGCCAGCAGCGCGCGAAGCTATATAGCAAAAGCTAGCTTGTAGCAAGATTCATACATGTAAGAAAGGCTACCACGGGACGAAATTGGGACTTCATCGGCAGAGGGAGGAGGAGGAGAAGGAGGTGAAGGCGACGAAAGCTGGAGACGCGCTCTCGACAATCGCTTCCATGGAGCTTACCTCTTCACGGCCACCCAACGCAGCGATGGAGCGGCCCTCCCATTCATTTTTGGAGCTCAGCAGCATTTCAGTGCTGCAGGAGCGCCTGCTGGGCCGTCGTCTTCGTCGTCGTCCTCGTCGTCCTCACACAAGGACCCCTTCCTGATCGTCGGCAGGGATCCCTCTTCCTCGACGCCCTGCGCTGCTGGGCATCATCAACCCGTCGGCATGTCTGCAAGCAGGCGATCATCCTCGGAGCAGCAGCCACAGCCGCAACCGCAACCGCAGCAATCCTTGTCTCTGGACCTGGAAGAGCAACAAGGTCGGGCTGCTCCCCCCACCTTCGTCTCGTACATGGGCAGCCGACTGCCCGTGGCTATGGCGATTAGTAGAGATCAACACGACCAATTCTACCAGCTTAACAGATTGCCTTACGAGTCGATCCCCAGCTCGAGGCAGCCACCGGCACATCCGCAGCAGCAGCAACACGTGCTGGAAGGGGGATTCTTCTGGCCTGGGGCAGCTCGCTCTGCAGGAGGGGTGCCTCCGCATTTCAGCTCAGGTCCAGTGGCATATGGCTTGCGCGATTCGCCGGCAAGGCAAGAGCAAGAGACGGCGGGTCTCGTAATTCCCAAGCATATGGCGAGGCCGCAGCCGCAGGCAAGCAGATCCGACGAACCCAACACCCTGGATATGAACGTGCGAGGTATGAACCTCTTAGCACCCCAGCAGCGTTCATGGCCCGACCACCACCACCAGCAGCTGGCGCAATTTCATCAACTGCACCAGCTTCAGCTGCAGCAGCAGCAACACGCTCAGCAGCAGCAGCAACAGCATGTACAGCATCATCAACAACAGCAGAATATTCATCACCAAAGGCCAGACTCTCCCACTGTTGTTGCTCAGCTCCACAGATCGGGCTTGCAGCCGATTCTCCAGCACGAGCAGCAGCATCATCAGCTCCACCAGCAGCTTCAACAAGCTGGGCAGCAACAGCAGCACAATTTGCTGGCAAGCAGCTCCAGCACGGCCAGCGCCGGCGGGAGCAGCACCTGTAAGGAATGCGGCAACCAGGCCAAGAAGGATTGCGTGTACCAGAGGTGCCGGACTTGCTGCAAGAGCCGAGGTTTTGAGTGCTCCACACACGTTAGGAGCACCTGGGTCCCGGCTGCCAAGCGACGAGAGCGGCAGCTCGCCGAGGCTGCAGCCGTCGCATCGGGCCAGCCCCGTCCCAAATCCAAGCGGAACCGAGTCATTGCCATGCAGCAGCAACAGCTTCAGCTGCAACACCAACAATCCTCGGCCGAGCAGGTCATGATCTTAGACGAGGATATTACCGCCGTCACCCCCACCACCACCAACACCTCCAATTCCCCTCACAGTGACGCCAGGCAGCCGCAAGGTACGCTATTTCTTCTCGAAGCGACTGCCATTTGCTTGCTTTTTCCTGGGCAGTGCATGCATCATTCACGACGGCATTGTAACCTAGGGATGCATATAGGCAGGCGTGGCCTAAGAGCGTGAGGAATCTCTGAAGGACCTTGCCTCTTGTTTGCTCTCAGCAATCAGAGTACAAGGGGAAAAAGAGAAACCAAAGTGTTACTGCAGCCAACTAGTCAGGTTTGTCTGTCACCAAAAGCACCTTAAGTTCCGGGCAATTGAATGCTCCATGCAGCTGAGAGCAGCTGCCGAACTGAAAAGCTTGCATAAGATTGCTCTCTGAATTCATGAATTCATGAATGAATGAACTGAACATATAATCCGTACTCAGCTTTGCATTTGTTTGCGACAGATGCAGGCAGCTTGCCCTCGGAGGTGAGAGCCCAGGCGGTTTTTAAGTGCGTCAAGGTGACGAGCGTGGAGGACGGTGGGGAGGACGAGTTTGCGTATCAGGCAGTGGTCCGAATAGGGGGCCGGATCTTTAAGGGAGTGTTGCAAGATCACGGCGTTGATGCTGGTGGAAGCATCAGTGGCGACACGACCAGCCTGGGTGATCTCCAGCAAGGTGGTGGTGGTGCTGCTGCTGCCGCTGCTACCGTGGGAGGAGGAGCAACAGCAACTGGAGGATCGCCCACCCCTCCGCAGCTCTTGCAGCTGGATCCAATGTTTCATGGAGGAGGGTCATCAAGCCAGAGCCACAGTCACCACTTCCACCAAAGCTCTAGTAGAGAGGTAGAGTGACAATTTATTTGTCCTAGAATTGTTGCTCGTGGCGAGAGCGTGTAAAGATTCATCTCGCAATGAGAACCAAGCCATGTGTGCTTGACACGTCGGATTGTTTTCAACGGTAAACTGCCACGTCCGCCTTTGGCTATGGCTGCTCTTCACAGGATGCGTCTCTCGTTCCGGTCGCTGGGTTGCGGCCTCTCGTGGAGCTTCAAAGGTAGGGCGAGGCGGCGCTTCCTGTGGTGGGGCAAGCGAGACGATGAGATGCGTGCCAAGGCGACAGTCACAGCCAAGGTGAAGGGAGTGCTACTCCACCTGAGAATTTTCATGCTTCTTGGCCCGGCCCCTCATGGCGGACCTGCGAGTCATGGTGCTGGGATTTGGAGGAGGGTGGACTATTCCGCTCGGATCAGCTGCTGGAAGAGCTTCCTCAAGCTCAAAGGAAGCAGCGTTCGTGCTACCACAAGTAGCGCTGGGCCGAGCCGTCCAAGCCCAAGTGTTGCCTCGTCGCAGGTACAAAATGCTACCTCGAATATGTTCCAGGCCATTGTCACCAGAGTTTTCAGCAGATGGTTTCCTTCACAGCTTTTCAAAAGCTTTGAATGCTCTTACCTGCTTGGATTTCTGGGTTTGGCTTGGAACTATATGTGGGAGAAGTGTTTAGAAGCGTTTGCAATTGTCGTGGCTTTGGTAGTCGATTTGATTATTCGTAAACTTAAAATGTCACTCAAATATTTTTATGCAAGAAGATAGTTTGATTATATTATAGATAAAACTATTCTAGTAAAATATATTTGTAATATTTTATCAAGAATATTTTCTAATAAATCATTGGATGGATTCAAAAGAAAAATCACATGATCATATAATAAGAGGCAATTATTAGAAATTTGTGGAATTTCTACTTCTAAACCCATTGTATTTTCTAGTTTTTAAATCTAAAGGAGTAACCTCTTACACATGCAAATCATTAAAACTGTGAAGGATTTTCCCTTTTTCCAACTTATCCTTTCTAATTTATAAGATATGTTTATAAACTAAATTGATTAGTATATACTATCTTTAATGTGAAATTCATTTCTAAATTCATATTGTGTTTATAGATATTTCTAATTTAGATAATACTATGAGTGCATAGAATATGGAAGTGGAATATAAAAATGTGCATATCAATTAGCCCAAAAACCCTAGTTTATATATAAGAGCGAATGGTCTGGCTACTAAAATCTCACTACACTAATATTAGTATACAGCATTGTAGCTGTACACTTGGACCTCACAATATATATTTTTCAAAAATACTTTTCAAAAATTTCAACAATTATTACCTTTTGTAGCGCATGTGATTATGGGATGAGATTTAGATATACTGTCACCATGGATCCTTGGAACCTTGGGGATAAATAGGGATAAAATAGTCACTAAAAGCTCTCTTATTAAGCAATTGCCCCTTTTTTAGTTAACTTAAGAGGAGAGAAATAAGGTGCACTACAATTGATATCGGAGCAAATGGCATGGGTTCATTCCCATGGAATAGCTAGTCTGGATTGGTATCCACTGTGGGACTGCAATACAGGTGGAATAACTAGTTTATACAATGGAAGGATTGGTATCCATCGTGAGACTACAGTACGGGTGGATGATTAGTTCCCCTTGGCTCAATAGGAGGACTGCAATACGGGTGGAATAGCTAGTCTACACAATGGAAGGATTGGTATTCATCGTAGGACTGCAGTACAGGTAGATAATTAGTTCCCCTTGGCTTAGTAGGGGGACTGCAATACGGGTGGAATAGCTAATCTACACAATGGAAGGATTTGTATCCACCGTGGGACCGTCAGTAGGGGTTGTTACCGTCCCTCAATAGTGAATGAGGACATTAACATCTCTAAAGGGGATGGACGTGTTGGTTCCCCTTGGCTCAGTAAGGGTTATTATCGTGGGACTGCGGTATGGGTGGATGATTAGCTGCCTTTGAAAGGGATGGAGGTGTTAGTTCCCCTTGGCTCAATAGGGGTTGTTACCATGGGATTGCAGTACGGGTGGATGATTAGTTGCTCACATGGAATAGTTAATTTACATAATGTCCTCTTGGCTCAGTATTCACCATAAAACTGTGATACGGGTGGATGACTAGTTCCCCTTGGCTCAATAGGGGTTATTAGTCAATAGTCAATGAAGACATTGACATCTTTGAAGGGGATGGAGGTGTTGATTCCCCTTGGCTCAGTAGGGGTTGTTACCGTGGGATTGTAGTATGGGTGGATGATTAGTTGCCTCACATGGAATAACTAGTCTACACAATGTCCCCTTGGCTTAATAGGGGTTGTTAGTCAATAGTCAATAAGGACATTGACATCTTTGAAGGGGATGGAGGTGCTAGTTCCCCTTGGCTCAGTAGGGGTTGTTATCGTAGGACTGTAGTACGGGTGGATGACTAGTTGACTCACATGGAATAGTTAGTCTACACAATGGAAGGATTGGTAGATTTAGTGTGGAAATGAAGGTGTTAGTTCCCCTTGGCTTAGTAGGGGTTATTAGTCAATAGTCAATAAGGATATTGACATCTTTGAAGGGGATAAAGGTGTTGATTCCCCTTGGCTCAGTAGGGGTTGTTAGTCAATAGTCAATGAGGACATTAACATCTTTGAAGGGGGGGGCGAGTGTAATGTATGTGATCATGGGATGAGATTTGGATATACTGTCACTATGGATCCTTGGAACCTTGGGGATAAATGGAGGTGCTAGTTCCCCTTGGCTCAGTAAGGGTTGTTAGCTAATAATCAATAAGGACATTGATATCTCTGAATGGGATGGAGGTGTTGGTTCCCCTTGGCTCAGTAAGGGTTGTTAGTCAATAATTAATGAGGACATTGATATCTTTGAATGGGGGGTGTTGTTAGTCAATAGTCGATGAGGACATTAACATCTCTAAAAGGGGGGATAAGTGTAGTGCATGTGATCATAGGATGAGATTTGGATATATTGTCACTGTGGATCCTTAGAACCTTGGGGGATAAATAAGGATAAAATAGCCACTACTAAGGGTTCTCTCATTAAGCAATTGCCCCTTTTTCAATTGGCTTAAGGAGAGAGAGATAAAGTGCGCTACACCTTTGAATCCAAAATATTTCATGTTCCTTTAAGAATTTTTTTTTGAATTTATATTATAATTTGTATATGGCAAAGAAGTACATGACCAACTACTTGCCTTCCTCTAGTATCAATGGCAGCTAGATCATTTGCAATAACTTCCTTGATTGGATTATACTCCTATGGAACTTTATTAATAATTATTGTAGCAAGTAAATAATTTTTCTCAATATGTGTTCAAATTGATTAATTTAAAATAAAAATTGTTATGTTTGAGATTCTCCATTCTATTATTTTCTTTTTCAAATAACAGTCTTATTTTACTTTATTTTAAAATTTAAAATTTGAGTTTCTTGCCAGTTTATAAATTACAGTATAAGTTTTATGCTAAAATAATTTATTAATCTATTTATATTTTACTTATAAGTAAAAATTAAAAATTTATTATTTATTTAAAGGATTATATTATATTGTTTAAATAGGTGTACAAACTTGGTGATGACTATGATAATATTTTTTAGTAATTATATTACATTCATACTCTTCATTTAGCACAACAGTATCAAATGATTCATGTTAAGATTATATTTTTAATTGATTTTGCTTAAACCTCAAAGTTTTAGTATAATTTATTTAGAGATTAGCGGGTGCTATAACTGCTCATTAGTACCAATTATAAAATATATTTTTGCCAAATAGTTATTCTAGGTTGAGAATTTTACAGATTAATAAATTTACTTTATATTCAATAAAGTGTTAAGAGAGAGAAAGGAATATATGCATAATTGTTTATGAAATTCTAGGATATATAAGTTATAGAACACTTAACATTGTATCAATACATATAAAGAGAAAATTTTGAATGCAATTGAATCACTTTTATTATTAAACACTCTAGATTTTGGATAAAACTCAAAAATTAAATTTTATAGACTATGATAAATATGTTTACCAAAAATATTACAAGAATGATTGTTCAGGCTTTCCATTTTCTATCACTCAAGAAGCATAGACAGTTTCTATTGCTAAAAATGAGAATTTTAATTGGTGAATAATTAATATTTTTGGTTTTGTGTTTTTAGTTTATGAAACTTAATATCCATGGTGTGTTAGTTAATAATTTTTTGCACGTTGTATGCAGAAATCACTTGATTTTCTTAATAGAAATGTTATTCATGTGTTGTACTCTTTATTAATCCCAATTCATCAAATGAATGTTTATGATTTCAAACATGTTTATATTTTATAATAAAATATTAATATTATTTCTTATCAACTATTATATAGTAGAAAGTATTTAGAAAAGTTTATAAATTATAAATACAAGTAATTGTTAGATGGTAGAATATCCCAGAATATATAAGTATATTCTAAGTATAACTTAGAAATTTGCTTAAGGAAAAAGTAAAACTTTTCTCTTTTGAGCTCTTCATGACTTCTTTTAATAAATTGTGGAAATACTTTAATGTTTGCTTAATTGTTTTGGTAGAAATTTTGCCTGTTCATGAAAAACATGGTTTAGCATGGGCAATTAGATAGTTTTGTATACATCAACACCACATATGAATTCTTCATATGCCTTGTTGGGGAATTACATGGTTTTGTATACATCAATGCCATATATAAATTCTTCATGTGCTTTGTTAGGCAATTTGATATAAAGCATAATATCGTGGAGAAGGAAGAATTGGCTAATGGATAAAAAATGGGATTGTTTTGACTATAGCACTAAGCACAGCTTGCACTAGATCCACATTAGGTGTCTATTATCTCATTGAATTTCTTGGGTGGGCTGCCTAACTTGATTTTTGTGGTTTAGAACGGTGGATAGAGGCCACTAGTAACTCACAATCAAGATATTAATGTGATCATAGATGGTAGACCATGTTTATATATATATATATATATATATATAT